GCTAGGTTGCTCATTTTTTTTTTTTTTTTTTTTTTTTTTTTTAACTTCACTGTTGTGGCCACCTTATAGTGCCATATTGTTGGCCATTAGTATGTGTATGTCACTCAGAGAAAATCCGGAAAGAGAGGAGCAGAAAAAAAAAATTACATTAAAAAAAGTTGGATTTTACAGTCAACGTGTGGCCAAGAGCTTGGTATCGGCATGGCTGCATTATAGCCCCTCACTGTTGGCCATGAGTTTGTGCACGTCACTGGGAGAAAGGCGAAGGAGCGCAGGCGGGGGTAAGTCTAATGTGATAGCCAGCTTGTCGACAAGTGCTTTGTGCCACCATTGCTGTTTTAGAGTGCCTCATTGTTGCGGTGTGGAAAAATAGGTGAATTTGTGAATAAATGGAGGATTGCTGTAATATTGCATTCCCATAGCTCAGTGGTAGACTACAATACTTTCCAAGGTGCAAATTCTGGTTACATCGCATTCGTGGGAAAGGAACTTCTTAAAACAAAAACAAAAAAAATTGAACTGATTATTCTTTGGTCCTTTTACCAGTTTGGCATATCCTCGTTCATCCAAAACAATATTTTCAGGCTTGACATCTCTATAGACGACATTTCGAGCATGGAGAAAGGTCAAGGCCTGCGTCACGCAAGCCGTGTAGAACTTGGTGCTGCTCTCGTCCAGACAGCCTCTGTGGAATACGGTCACACTTTGGCACTTTTTGTTCAGAGGTTTGAAGGTCTTGATAAACTTACACTTCGAAAAGTACATACTTGTCTTTCAGCAAGCTGTAAAGATCCCCATGGAGACAAGCCTCGGTCAACATGTAGAGGCACTCGGCATCTTGAAAGGTTTTGTGCAACCTTGGATTAGCAAGAGAACATTCTTTATAGATTGGTGCTCCTTTTGTACAGTACATTCTCCCACTCCAGGCATTTGTTCATCCAACACAACACAACAAAACACAACACTTATCAGCTTCTATTCCACTACAGACCTTCATACAACTACTTATCGTGCAGCAATTATAAATAAGAACATGGCTAAGCATGAGCACAATCACATTATGACATGTAGGTTGTTTTTTTGTTTTTTTTCTCAGTAAAATGCCCTACATACATACCCATCTCAGCATTTAACTGTAGTAATAAACTTTGTCATCACATTTGGAGAAATATATTTGGTGTTGCCATTTTTAGAAATGTTGTGGATCCTACTGTAGCATGCAGGTCTACCTAATTTTCGAGATGCACTTTCCTCTTTGATAAACACGGCATGCAAACAAAACAGTCCTGAACAGACAGCCTCTGAAGCGTGGCTACCTGACTAGGAATGGACATGCGGCATCCATTAGGATGTTCCGTTCTCTCGCGACGTGCTCTCGCAGGCCGTTGTGGATAATCGCCTTCTTGTCGAGGACCCTCATGGCAAAAAGATCCTTGACATTGCTCTTGAATTGCACCTGGAAGAGGCCCCAATCAGGAGATAATATTACAGGAACACCGAAAACGCAGCGGGCATCGAGAGAGAATCTCACCAGGTCTGTGTGACCAAAGTCCCCTGCTCCTAGAGTGCTGATTATCTGGAAATCGCTTAAGGTGGAGGATGCGAGCGAGGCAGGATCCTTGACTTCTGGCCTGCTCACAAGGGAAACAAATTGAGTCTGAGATCCTTATTGAATGCGGTAGTGCCTTGTAGTTCCATGGCAGCTACATATCAAAAAGTGACATTTGAAGCGTGGTGCTAGCTACGCGACTTTTTTGCGACTGTTTTTCAAAAACAACAAAACCTCGCAACTATTTATGAGCTGTGCACCCCAATATCTGATTAATTCCCTGAGATTGAGCTGTAACCAGTGCGTGGTGTGGCTCACCCAAAACTGGGATGGGCTCCAATTCACGCAGGACCCTAAAGAGGCCAAGAAAATGGATGGATGGAATCCAGAGGCATCACAATTCAGCAAAACTGAAACTGTTTTGAGTTTGACCAAAATTCTGGTGAAAAACATACCACGCCATATGACGCGAGTTGCCAGCATACCTCAGTAGATTGCAGCCAGCATACCTCAGTAGATTGCATTTCAGTCAACATCAAAGGACTCCCTGTGCCTGTTTTGCTTTTACTGAGAGACTTTGTGGCTTTTTGAGACATTTATTCTTTTATTAGGACAAGAAGAGTGTTGTCATGAAGGACGCAAACTCAGAGGGTGTCCGAATACTTTTATCCAACACGAGCCAGTATTTCAGTGTCTGAATAGTATGCGGATGATCGCTAGTGAGCTGAAGTGTCGCTTCGTTCTGGTTTTATTTTGGTAAGTTTCAACTTCCTGTTTTATTTCCATTCCCTTAAAAGGAGTCGAAAAATGACCAAGTTTTCTGAATAAAGGTCCTTTCAGTTGAATATTCTGAGAGTCGTGTTGTGCATTTCAGTTCATCTGAAAGTGCCTTAAAAAAAAAAACAAGCACTATATAAGCTGATTGAAACGCTGATTGGCTAGATCAAATCTGGTTGGTTGCAGTACATGTTATTTTATGATGGATTACATTCCTGGCTGAGTTCATTTTATGGTTATTAATATGAAAATGCAAGATATTTGGGAGGCCTATTTGTCAGGAATGGACTTTTAATTGTTAAAACAGATGAACACAGATTCATACTAAATAGTTCATGTCTAATTGTCCTCGTGTGAGGAAGAAGAAATGGTCAACACTTGAATTTTGGCACGTCGAGCTAATAAAGGTTTACGACTGTGACAGTTTGGTCTCTAGGAACAAGTAATTAATCAAATTCTCCTTACTCGTCTTTGCATCCGGTCTTCTGTTGCGTCTCGAGACTGCTGTCAAACACCATCCCTCCAAGGATATCACTGAAGGTCCTGGAAAAAAAAAAAAAAAGCAATCACTAGACACTTGTTGAACTATTCCCCAATCGGCATCCATCCTTGGTGTGATATCTTACTCTCTGTCGATGAGCAGACACGCAACGTCACTGACCGCGATGACATTCGCAGCACGCACATCCTCTCTGATTAAGGAGAGGACATTTCATTCCATGAAATTCGATCACAGGCTTGTGATTACAACTTAACCGATATCCCGCCTTTACCCCCACAAAGCTTTCTCTCCAAACCACTGCCTCTCCGAGAGCTTGGAGAGGATTTGCTCTTCATCCCCTGTCTTCTTTTCTGTGATTTTCACCTACACAACCAAAATGGGAGTCGCAAGAAGAGCAAAAAGCAATGAGGAAAGGCGACAAATTCGATCGTCGCTTATTCCAGAGACATTTCCTAAGCCGTGTTGACATTTGGCCCTCGTTGCGCCCGACTTTACCTGGCCTTTGTTAATGACATAAAAGGTGTCCCCTGTGGCGCCTTGCCGAATGATGTAGTCGCCTTGAGTGTAGCGAGCCTGCGGAGAGAAAGAAAGACGAGAGAAACGATCAAACTCAACATAAAAGCTTGCTGATGAGAAACAGAGTCCAAAGTGAAATGAAGGAATTGGCGGGTGGGGACCAAGAAATGATGATCGATAGGCAAGGTGATGTGTGTGTGTGTGTGTGTGTGTGTGTGTGTGTGTGTGTGTGTGTGTGTGTGTGTGTGTGTGTGTGTGTGTGTGTGTGTGTGTGCGCATTGAAAGTGACACAGCCGCCTAGTGTACCTCCTCCATGAGATCACACATCTTCATGATGGCATCCTTTGGCAAGGACAGCAGAGAGGGAACACTGCAGACACGAGGCGGGATTCAATTACGGAGAAAGCAAGCTCACTACAATAACTATTTGTTATTTCTCACCACTCACCAGTTAAGACTGGTGAGCCAGTGATTATGAAACATTAACTGAGCTCGGATTTCAAGGAAAAAAAAAAAAAAAGACATCCATTGTTGACATCCACCTGCTCAGCAGCTCCGACGTACGCGTGAGGCTGTCGCGGCCACTCTGCATGAGCACAGTCTGGTAACTCTTGCGCTCGATAACCCACAGCTTGCTGTCCGACTGTGCTGAGGAGCAAAAAAAAGGGGGATAGACGACAAAGGGGACACATTAGGTTGACTTCTACTCGAGAAACTTGCGTGAAGGGCCTCAAAAAAAATGTGAACACTTATTATTCATAAGCGGACATTATTAATAGAGAAGAACATCTACCATAAATCTGATTTCCCTAAACTATAATTAAAATCTCCGGATGTCGGAACCGGATGTTTGAATTAATAATGACACTCACACTGGTTCAAAGAAGGTGCCTGTGAGCGGGGACGGCAGATGTCCACTGTCTGAACTTTCAAATTGCGTCCACTATCTGATTGACAGCGATGGTCGATATCTTAACCGCGCCATTAGAACAGAATTATTAAGAGAGCTGTGCGGGATAGTTTCATTTCCTGGAAGATGAAAGGCATACAGCTGACAGCTCTGTCTCCCATTCTGTTTTAAACCGATTCTATGAACTAAAGGTAAAATGTTCACTGGAAAGAAAAAACTCAAGTCAATCTTGTATCTGGCACCCCAAACCGAGTTTCTCCATCCATGACTTGAAAGCTAAGCTGGGTGAAGATCCAAAGCCAATTTTCAGCTACCGCAGGACGACTGCAAAATATATTGTAATATTCTGCGGCTGGTCTATAAAGCACTGAATGGTTTGGATTTTGAATACATAAAGGAATCCGAACTGAATGCAGGTCAGTTCATAAAGCCCACCTTTCAAAGCAAACACGGTGAAGCACCACTTAGCTGTTATGCTGCATGTAAGTGGAAAAACTGCAATGACTGAAATACATGAAGTGCCGTAATAAGTACATTTTATTTACATAGTAACACACACATGCGCACACACACACACACACACACACACACACACACCAAGTTTCTCAAGCCATTATCAGCAAGGCTAGGAGTAGATCTCGATACATCACTGGTCCACTTTTTCTTTTTGCTGCACCCTGGCTGTGCTGACACAAGACAATCTAGTCACTCGTCTCAGGCTCCGCCCCCAGTAGTCATGGTGATGAGAGCAGTATATTACCGAGAATTCGAGTCATCATTCTATCATTATAATCAGCAGTAAAATATACCTTTTTAACCTTGGGGTATTTTTTTTTGTCACTACATGGCCTTCAAACAAGCAAGAGTCTTAATGTAATGTATTAATGTTGGTTTCAGATTGCAGTTTTGTTTTTCTTTTTTGTGTGTGTGTTAAAACGTTTGCCTCCCTTGTGTCGCGTATTGAAGTAAGTGTACTTCCAGACATATTTCCAAGGTCACTTGAACAATGGAAAGTATTCCTGTGGATGAATGATCACAAATGCATTCAACAGAAGGTTAAGCACAAGTGGAGGCTCATTTACATTCGGCGGTCACAACATTAGGTACAATCGCAGGTTAATGACTACGCCATTTCACACGACTGCAATCTGCAACCACAGTAATCAACATTAAGTTGAATTTATACCGCAGCGACAGTGTAAATCACAACTTTCACATAACATTTGAGCTCCTGTTGGTATGCTGGCTTGTGCTATGCTAATGTGATCTTCCCAAAGGTGACATCTTGTTCCATCTGTCAAGATCACAGATGGCAAACAAATAATTCTGATGCTGATAAAAAAAAAAAAAAAAAAGAAAAGCTATTAGAGAAGGGCATGCTGCAAAGGGCGTTCGTGCAGCGTTGTCATGGCGTCTGGTTGCCAGATAAAGAGGGCAAACAAAGTTCTTTTTCCAATTTCGGATGATCTGCAGCAGCCTATTTCCTTGCGGAAGCGGGTCACATGCACATCGAGTTGCTTGACAGAAGGTCCCTGCAATCCTCTGTCATGATAGCCCGTCATTTACCCAAACAAAAATCCTGTCACAAGTGTGAAATTCACGGACCACCTTTGAGATTTTCAGATTTTTTTTTTGCTGAATGTGGCATCGCAGGGAACAGATGGACTGTTTTAAATTCAACGCATACAGTATGCCAGGAAACCATTCAGTCGGCGTGGTGTTCTCTGTGACCTCTAGCCGCAATGCCCCTGCTTCTTATAATCCCTTTTCCCAGAAAATGAATCACATCCATACCTAATCTAAACATTGAAATGCCTCAACAAGTTGACTTAGTTATCGCAGCCTGAATATATTTTTAAAAAAAAAAACAAGAAAACAAGACACACATACATACCTGTGACGGAGTAGATTTGCGTGCAGTTGTAGAGCAGCGCCACCTCTCCGAATACTTCCCCTGCTTCGATCGCGAACAATTTTTGTCCATCTTTCGACACGTCTAGCCTCCCCTCTGTGATGACACACACTCGGTCAAGGCGGCGATCATCGGCAGTGTGCATTACATCCAAAAACATCAAACAAAAAGTGACCTCTGCACCTCAAACTATACAGCTGTCAAGCGGCCGCATTGTATATTAGACGCTTGTTCGGGCAACCTGAGACAAGACGGGTAGTCTTCATCCATTTGCTTCACTTCGATCAACAATTTTGAAAAAGAATCTAGTCGAGATGATTCCCCTTTCAATGTTACAATTGCGATTTAATATTCCGAGACATCATCTTTGAGCAATGAGCATGATGGGAGAGAAAACGGGAAAAGCCGTTTCATGCCAAAGCAGGAGTCTTGAGGACGGTGTCCGCGCTCGCTATTAATCATTTCAAGCACCTTGCAAATCCTCCGACGTGACTAACGTTGCCGCGCGATGAGCACGGCTTTACCTTGTACAACATAAGCCTGCGAGCCGCCGCTGGTTCCCTGCTGGATCACGCAGCAGCCGTGACGGACAGCCGTGAGTTGCATGCAGGCCGTGACGGCTCTCGTTTCATCTTCGTTGAGGTTCCTCAACAGGTGACTTTTCAAAAAAGCGGCCTGGATCAACTTCTGACTCCTGGAAGCGCAGAGGGAAGGGATGCTCCGGGGTCAGTGATGCGTCATCAGAGTCTGCAATGATTTCTGTGACTCGAGGTACAATCGACATCATTTACTGTCACCCGCTTCGAGCACGGTCCATTTGTGGAGTGCAGTTCGGTTGTGTGTGTGTGTGTGTGTGTGTGTGTGTGTGTGTGTGTGTGTGTGTGG